CCCTGAATTTGATCTCCACCACTGCCAAAAAAAATGATGTAAATGTTACCTCACATAGAGTAACCCCATTTGAGCAAAAGCGTCCTTAATTTAAGGAAAAGGGGAAGCAACATTAAAATAAACCAAAGATTTCAGGCCTTCACTCCTTTCTTTAGGGCATGAAGACAGGTAAAAATGCACTGGCAGGTCCAAGTCATCAGTTTTTCCACATGGAATGGGATTTCAGAGTAGCACAATACTACTGGGACAGCTTAAAATCCAAGTTAGTCTTACATACCATAGTTCAAATGCTGACAAAAAAAGAGCAGTTGCAATACTTCCTTCATTCCTTTCTCTAAAGGTTAGGAAAGTGGAACCCAACTGTTAAGCAGGGTGGTAGTAGCAGAGTAACTGATTTAGTGCTTTACTTATAGAGTTATAAGTATAAATCTATGAAAAGTCTGGCTATGGCTTTGCTTGCGGGCACTGACAGTAGCCAGATTGGAAGAGCCCAGGTCAAAGTATCTATAATACAAAGATATATCAAGTAGCATCCAGAAAAGTAGGACTAACAAAAAGATTATTAGACACTGGAGAAGTAGTACACTGATTTTTTGAAAAGGAGATCCAGTGTTGTGGGACCACTTCTAAAGCATTCAGATGGCAGTGAAAGGCAACAGGAAGGCAAGGCTGTGATTCACACTGGACCCTTAACTACAACTGCTACATTATAGATCATATGAAAAGCCTAAGCCTAAAGATTAAAGACCCATAGCAGGTTGTAGCTCCTTCTGGGAGTCACTTTTTACATCTTATGATGAAGGCCTAAAGTCTGATTTCTGTTTGCTATGGTGGGCAGTAGAATACAGTGGTCAGCAGAAATTGGGCAATCTGAGGCAAAGAAAAGAATCATGAAATGGAGCAAAATAAGCATATAGAAATTACAGGTTGAAGGAGTCAAGCAAGCATTCAGGAGTTCCAAATCACCTAAAAGAGATAAAAATGGAGTTAAATGAGGCTAACACTCAAAGTTCAGCATAGAATTTAACAGAAGAGAAACAGATAGCATGCACCAGAAACCGAATGCTGCAACCAAGAAGGTCTGCCTCAGCCTTACTCCTCAAGTTGCAATCAATGACTAGCTTCCCTTAGAATCACCCAGTTATCACCCGTGGCCAGGAACAAATGTTTAGAAGATCTGCTGCAAAGAAAAACTTGCCCCCCAAGGCATCGTTAGCTAAGCTCTGACACAAGCCTCATAGTAGGGAGGTGTATGAGAGGCTAAAATGACTCCAAATTCACTCATGTTTTTGAAAGAGATGGCTTTCCTAGAAGTCTGAGTGACATGCCTGGTGAAAGCAGAATCCTCCTCAAAGGTACTCAATTAAAACTGGGGCGTGGGTGGGAAAGGTTACAAAGACAATTCTAAAACTTAAAAAATAATCCATTGTCAAATTCATTCTACTGGTTCATCTTCTGAAAAAAGATTAAGTAAGTTCAATGCAAAGGCTTTATAATCATGAATATTTAAGCAAACATATATGATTATAAATTTATAAAACTATAGTTGGGCTATTTGATAGCAAAACTAGAGATAAGTACATTTCTCAGAAGAAAATGGCCTAAAAATTATGCACAAAAATGAATCTAAAAATTGACAAACATGCCTCACTTAACTGATGTGATGCTCATTTAAAATACAATTATTAAGAGGTTAATTTTAGCCTGGAGCCAGTGGCTCATGCCTGTAATACCAGCTACTCAGGAGGATTGCAGTTTGCAGCCAGCCTGGGCAAATAGTTACTGAGATCCTATCTTGAAAACCCTTCACACACACAAAAAAAAAAGGGGGGGGGCTAGCGAGTGGCTCAAGATGTAGGCCCCCAGTTCAAAACCTAGTACCACAAAAAAAGAAGTTAATTTTATATCATTTTATGATGTATTTTCAAATACTAACATGGCTAGTTTAAATAAAACCAACCTACAACTTAAAGAGTACGTAATTCAAATTATCAAGTAAAAAAATTTTTATTAACATTTAGAGTTAGCATGATGGAGCTGAACACTGGTGGCTCATGCCTGTAATCCTAGCTACTTGGGAGGCTGAGATTAGGAGGATTGTGGTTCTAGGTCCACTTAGGAAAAAAAATTCAAGAGATCCCATCTCCAAAATAACCAGAGGAAAATGGACTGGAGGTGTAGCTCAAGCAGTAGAGCTCCTGCTTTGTAAGTGCGAGGTCCTAAGTTCAAACCCCAGCCTCACCAAAACAAAACAAAAACAGATTTAGTAGAATGAAGAGGCTGGGGATTTATCCCAGTGGTAGAGCACTTGCTGGCTTGTGTAAAGACCTGGGTTTGAATCCAGGACTGTAAGTTACCATAATGGAATCAACTTTAGTATCCATTAATGGATAAAGAAAATGTCGTATATTTACACAATGGAATACCATCCCACCTTAAAAAAAGATGAAATCCTGCTATTTGCTCTTTTGCACTCCCTTACCAGCAACCCACCTCACAACTCAGAGGAGACACATGTGGTGCTCTTCAGCACTACAAGCTAAAACAGACAATCATGCTAGCCATGCAATAATGTCTTTTTCTATTTTAATCTTCACTTCCTGAGAGACTAACAAAAAGCCCAGAGAAATACAAGTAGTGGCTTAAATCTGTCTGAAATAAGGCAGTGACTGAGAATTTACTAAAAACCCATATGTTATTGATTCCATGCCCATGGTTAATCATTCAACAGGGCTGTCCCTCTTCCTGGGACAAGGGAGGGCAGGACATGGGTACCTTAGTGTCCATAATGTAGGAACTAATAACACCTAAGCAATGCCTATTCTAACCTGTGGAGGCATATATGGAAGATATTTTAAGGTTTTTTAAAGGAAGGGAAATGCATGGAAGCACTGTAAACCCTTTAAAAGAAAGATGTTTTACAGCTGTTGAATAATAGGAGACCAGGGTGATAAAAAGTAAGTAACAGAGAGGGTTAATCTGATTAAACTATGATATATACATGTGTGAAATACCAAGGCAAAACCCCTTTGAACAATCAAGATACAACTAAAAAAATGAAGTACAGGGAAGTAAAACAGGTCCGGAGGGTGGGTACCAGTGAGAGGGGGCAGGGCAAATGGAAAGGGGGAAGAAGAGTGAATATGGTTACGTATACAAAGAGAAAGATGGAGGGGGTGAATTTAAGATACATTATAAACACATATATAAATGTCACAATAAAATACCCCTATACAACTAACAAATGATAATAGAAAAAGAAAGATGTTAAAAAAAATTTTATTTGCAATGATGTGGATGAACCTGGAGGACATTATGTTATGTGAAATAACCAGGCACAGAAAGACAAATACTGTATGGTCTCACCTATATATGAAATCTAAAAAAGTTGAACTCGTAGAAGTAGAAAGAAAGTAGGGGGCTGGCGGAGTGGCTCAAGTGGTAGAGTGCCTGCCTAACAAGCTTCGCCATGAGTTTAAACCCCAGTACTGCTAAAAAAAAAAAAAAAAAAAAAAGAAAGTAGAATGATGGTTACCAGGGGTTGTGGGAATAGTATTTTGGAGACTAGAGAGATGTTTGTCAGTAGACAAAAAAAATCAGTTAGAAGGAATGTGTGTTCTTACCACAAAAAGTATGTAAAGCAATGCATGTGCTAAATACATTCATTTTGCCATTCCACAATATATGTTGTCTCTGTGTGTATATGTATATATATATATGTATATAAAATGTTATATACCATAAGTATATATAATTTTACTTGTCAGCTAAAGATAAATTTTTTAAAAGAGTTAGAATATAGTGGTAATGAAGCTTTGTGAATGTAATTTTTAAAAAATTTTTTATTTTATTCATATGTGCATACAATGTTTGGGTCATTTCTCCCCCCTTCCCCCCACCCCCTCGCTACCCAGCAGAAACTATTTTGCCCTTATCTCTAATTTTGTTGAAGAGAGAGTATAAGCAATAATAGGAAGGAACAAGGGTTTTTGCTAGTTGAGATAAGGAAGCTATACAGGGAGTTGACTCACATTAATTTCCTGTACATGTGTGTTACCTTCTAAGTTAATTCTTCTCGAACTAACCTTTCTCTGGTTCCTGGTCCCCTTCTCCTATTGGCCTCAGTTGCTTTAAAGTATCTGCTTTAGTTTCTCTGTGTTGAGGGCAACAAATGCTATCTAGTTTTTTGGGTGTAATTAATATCACTGAATTGCATACTTAAAAATGGAAAATTTTTCATTATACATATTGTACCACAATTTAAAAACTATATGAATGGGGAGAAAAAGACAAGTTAGTGTATTTTGTGATTATGCATCTTTGATATAAAGTCAGTTTGATATTTTTGGTACACAGACAATTTACATTGTATAAGACTAAAATATATCATTCAAAGTCTTTACCTAGGGCTGGCAGAGTGGTTCAAGTGGTAGAATGCAAGGATGAGGCCCTGAGTTCAAACCCCAGTACTGCCAAAAAAAAACCTCTTCTCATAACAAAAAAGAGCTGGTGGAGTGGCTCAAGCAGTAAGAGTGCCTGCCTAGCAAGCGTGAGACCCTGAGTTCAACCCACAGTGTCACCAAAAAAAAAAGTATGAAAGTCTTTACATAAATTTCCATTTAAATGATTAGATGTAAAACAAAAATACTAAAATAAAAAGTTAAAAGGGAACTGGAGGTATGGCTCAAATGGTAGAGCACCTAACTCACAAGTGAAAAACCTTGAGTTCAAACCACCATACTGCAAAAAAAAGAAAAAGTTAAAAGAATTGTTGTATTCCAAATGTTTGGGGTAAAATATTTAAAAGCATTTTAAGATTAAATAGCCTCATATCTCTATAAGCATTACTCCTTGAAGTTTTTATTCAGTAAGAATAGAATATTTTAAAATCCAGATTATTTCTTAAAACAAAATGAAAAACCCAATTTATCTAATTAACATACATAATTCAGGCGTTCAAAAATCACTTGACATTTTTAAATGATCATAACCCAACTAACCTTTTTTTTCCTCTGTAATCTGTCTCTGAATTTATTAGTGATAAATCCCTTTGGACCAGCAAACCGTAAACGCTGATATTTAGCTTGAATGTACAAGCTTTTCTGTACCAGGTCTGATTTACAATGGGGTTGGAATCTGCCACTTCTAAAGTTGCTCTGTAAAAGAAAAAAAAGAATTAAATGTGAAAACTACAGTTTCCAAGTCTACCTTATTAGTATAACAGATGGACAAATGCCTAGTACTGTAGAGATGCCCTTGATTCTAGGCACTACAGATATTAAAAGGGACTAGGTTAATGGTGACAATAAAGTATATTTCCCTCAAACTAGCTGCTAATTTGTTTTATGTAGTAATTTAAAAAACTCTTTCTTTTAAATAAAAACCAATTTAAAAACTGTTAGTTAAAAGAATATGAAATGAATTCTTGAAATTCATCATGCTGAATGATACAATTTTCAATACCTTTAATGAGCTAAAATGATTCTTCTGATTCATAGTGATTGTATCAAATATTAATGTGGGGGAAAAGACATAAAATTATTAAAATCTAAGAATTGAAAACTGTTAACTTTACTCCTATCAATACCTTCAAATCAATCTTTCTTTTCTTACCACAAAAAAAAAAACTATTATAGTGCCAGGCACCAGTGGCTCATGCCTGCAATCCTAGCTACTCAGGAGGCAGAGATCAGGAGGACTGTGGTTCGAGACCAGCCTGAGCAAAAAGTGAGACCCTATAGCAAAAATTCCCAACACCGAAAAGGGTTGGCAGAGTGGCTCAAGTGATAGAGCACCATCCTAGCAAGCATGAGGCCCTGAGTTCAGACCCCGGTAGTGAAAAAAAAAAACATTATAGCAAATATGAATTATAAAGACCAATTCCTGGCCTAAATACTGTCTAATATTATAGTAGACATAAGAGGACAGTGAATATTTGTGTGTTTTCCATGTGGTTATAAAAGAAATTGGTCCTGTAATTTCACGTTATGGATGGGAAGAGTCTTTAATTTTGTCAGTCATGAACCAATCTTTTCCAAACCTTTCCATATAATTCTCCAAACCTTCCCTCCCTCACTCCCTCTACCATACATTTCTGATGGCCACCTCCATTTTCATGCATCTTCCTAGAATAATCTAAAACAGAGGGGAAAAGTGGCCCAAGTATTCTCAGATGGGTTCTAGCCCTACTAAGTCTTAAAACCTTGGCTACTTGCTAACTCACTGGAACAGTCTATATTAAATTCTTGATTACAAAGAGATTTTGCCATAAAATCATTTAACTAAATCTTTTATAGAAAAATAAACATGTAGGGTTAGAGGTATAGCTCTGTGGCAGAGAAGCATGCATGCATGAAGTTCTGAGTTCAATCCTCAGGACTGGAAAAAAATTTTAAAATGTGAAACCATATGAAGTAAAACTGTAGGCAAAATTAAACTTGTAACAGAATAAGTTCAGCACAAACTGAATACTGGAAATTCTAATTCCAGGAAGTCAGCAGATGATATGGTAGAAAAGATATGAACTTTGGTGACCCAACACACTTTCTCAGATGTGGTTAACTATAAAATTCTTCTGAACTTACTTCACCAAACCCTTACCTAATACTATGTACAAAGGAAAGACAAAACAGACCCTCCCCTTTTCCTGTAGGGGCTGACAATTTAGTAAAGATGCCAGTCTTAGCAACAGACAGGCAGCTAATCTTTCTGATTTCTGCCAACAGGATTCCCTACCAAGATCCAAGAAAAGGGTTCTCCAAGCCTGCAGAACATGAAACAGGATTTACCTTTACTGGCACAAACATAAGTCCTATTCTTCCATCTCTCTTTACCATTCAAGGTAAGGACTTGACCAGTGTTCATTTATTGGGTCAGAATAAAAGTTGCAAACTCTATGCCTTCAAAACAGCAGCCACTGTATACGAAATTTATTACCAAATATGTTTTCTTTTTAAATAAAATCATACTTATTCTTTGAAGATTAATATTTATGAAGGATAAACATTTTCTGCTAATATTTGATTTCATATTCTCAATTTCTCAAACAAATGCTCACAGTAAATAAGAAAATATGCACAGTGGCAGATGCTGCTTTGGAGGCTGAGGCAGTATTGCTTGAGCCCAGGAGTCAGAGGCCAGTCTGGGCAAGATAGTGTGACTCTGCCTTAAAATAAAACAAAACAAAAAAGAAAAGAAATCTAGTTATATGTAAATGTTTGATGACAAAGTCATGTGGAGAGGGTTTTGTCTTTAAATCAAATTCCTTTTTTGCTCTGAATTAAAAACACCCTGAGCCACATTCCAACTATTACATGACCAAGGTCCCAAATGAATGGGATGAAGTCAATTGTGGGCCCCTTTACAATGCCTACAGGGAAGAGTTTACTATTTGTAAACTAAGGCTAAAACTGAAGCTAAAATTATAAAACAAACAAGAACACATTTACTATATATAAAGTTAAAGGTCTAAATAAGCCTATGTAGCCCATTACAGATATCAATGAGATAAGAGTCCCTCAACATGAAGTGCTAAACAAGTAATAACTCCCAAATAAATTATTATAAGGTTAAACACACAAAGAGCCTTGAGGAAAGTCAATATAATTCTTCACAAACACTATAATTGCTACATTAAATAAAAGGCCTCTTCAAACACTACTTGTTTCCATTTGATAATAAAATTCAGATTAATCAGAAACTAAGGCAATGCCAGAAGGGTTTAGTTAAGTCAGTTGCCATTGCTGGAACTGCTGCTATTTTTTAAAAAGGAGAGAGACACTTGTGAGGCTGTGAAAAGGGAGAACTGGCTACAAGACATGCAGCATTACCAATATTAAGCTACTAAGTTAATGAAAGCCATGATAAGTGTTATACTAAATTACACCTTTAAAATTATGGCCTGTTTATTATTTAGATACCTAGACAGAACATTTATAATGTTTAGGTTCTATAATAATTTTCAACTATTTGGACACTAGGAATGGATTTTAATCTTTCTGAAATTTAGTTTTTTGTTTATCTTATTTTACTTTATAAGTTCCATCCTCAGAGTACTTAATAACTGAAAATGGGCCATGGACAATTTGGCAAAACAAATGTACACATGGTATATTACAACAGAGTACTTAAAAGAACCAAGTAGATTATTCTTTTCACACTTATTTTAGAAATGGGGATGTCGTACATGTAGAAGCACCTAAGTTTAGAAAGTCTGGCATTGTGCTAAGCTTATTTTCCACTTATTTTCTTAAAGTTACAGAAAATTTAAGGTAAAGAGAATCATGAGACACTATAACTTCACTAAGACTATTGCACAAAGTTGTTGTACCAGAGCTAAACTTGAGATTGGTATAATCCGTTCTCATGTATTTAATAAGGTGATTACTACCTGGCTTTGAAATAGTCTAACTCATGTAAAAATAAATTTTAACAACATACTTCCTTTTTGTAGGAAGGATTATTTCTTCACACTATTTTACTATAAAAATTGAAAACTTCTAAGAAATCCTATAACATTACACAATTTTAACTGATGGTTAAGAGGAAAAATTATTGCATTTTTTTTAAATTTCTATGCGATAATGCTAAAGAATCTTACCTTAAGAAGGGTAATAGGCTATAGATCTTGTGATGAACTTAGAAAAATGCAACAATCAACTATATCTGACTAGTAAGAAGAGCAACACAGTAAAAGCACTTAGATCTGAAAGTTCTCTAGGTGAAAAAGACATCACATTTTCAGTTGATCTGATGCCTCATTGCTTGAGATTAAAAAATAGTATAAAACATGTTTATATATTCTATGACCATAGCTATTATTGAAAATCTAATGTCATGTATGTTTTTAGGTATATAAACCATTGAATAAAAATCTATGCAATTACTACAAATTATTTTACTCCTAGTAAAAGAATCTTTCAATAGCTAGAAATTTTGGCTGTTAACAATCCAGGTATTGCCAGGTACCAGTGGCTCATACCTCTAAATCCTAGCTACTTGGGAGGCCAAAATCAGGAGTATTATGGTTCAAAGCCAGCCCAGGCAAAAAGTGAGACCCTATCTCAAAAACATCCAACACAAAGAGGACTAGCAGAGTGGCTCAAGTGGTAGAGCACCTGCCTAGCAAGTGTGAGGTCCCAAATTCAAATGCCTATAACACCAAAAATATAAAAATAAAACAATAAAAATAAAAATAAAAACAGCCCAGGTATTAACAGAAAATCACTCAACTACCTGCCTAGTCTATAGTTTTGAGATAGTTTATACTACCTTTCTGCCATACTAACTTCCTCTTAGTGAGCTAACTACTCTATCAAGCTTGCATAGTACCTTCATGAAAAAAGCTCAAATTTATTCCTTTTCTTTTTGGGGGGTGGAGGAGAAAGAGACAAAATAGAGTGGAAAATATGAAAACAGCACATGCCATAAAGAAAAAATTCAGTCAAAATGGATTTAAAAAGCACCCCAACTTTTGAGAGCCCGAAGATCAAAATATAGTACTTTTTACTATAATTTCCACTTCATCCATTTGTTTGGATAATGAGGTGTTCTGGATAAGCAAGCATATTGGTTGATTAAAACTATCATTTACATCACATATAAATGTACAAAAAAATAGAATATGATAAAATGATGATCCAGAAGGCCTCTGAGAGTTGTATGTCTATGGGCAGGGTTTGTAAGTCGTAGAGAAAGCACTATAGCATTGCATTTATACCTTACATGCTAAGGGGCAAGCTTAACAGGAGGTCTTAGGACCTTGCCCGCCTCCCCACATAGAATCACTCCACTTGTATCTGTTTTATGTATTTGTAATTCCAGGTGATACTTGAAAAAATGTTCCACTGGTTAAAAAATTTGAAAGACAAGTTCTGAGGAAATAGGACATCATTAAACTGATTACAATTAACTAGAAATACTCATAAGAAACAGAAAGATTAGTTTATAGCCACTATTTAAAAGAATACCACAAAAACAGCTTTTAGTTTACTAATACTTAGAACATTATATCCAAAGCATAAGCCCAAAGTTAGAATACCTTAAAAGGTCCTTTAAAGTCTCTTGTATTTTGATGGTTTTCCTCAAGTTCAAATTGTTTCAGAATAATGATATCTTTTCTTTGCATAGTATAATTCTGAACAAAAGAGTATTAGTATGAGTTAATATACTTTAAGGCTTATTTTGAAAACTAGTTTCACCATTAAAAAGATACATGCTTAGGGATTAAAGGATTAAGAACACAAAGCAGGGAGCAGGGAGATTAGCTGTAGGCATACACATACTTCTTCTTTCATATGACCCAGGCTAAGTTTGTGAGAAATGTAAAAAACAAACAAACAAAAAAACAAACACTGCTGTACAGCACAACAATTGACTGTTAGAAAACTAACTACAAATCTCACATTTATTTATTCAGGCATCCAGAACAGAAAGAAACCTATTACTATCAGGAGTTGCTAAAGGGTTCTTACTGCCTAAAAAGAACACAAATCTTGAACACTGCAGGAGGCAGGTTTTGTTAACTCAGATTAATTGATTTGAGATGATGCGCCTACCATGGCATGGAAAGTATCACAAAATAACTCGCAGGAGAAGTAACTATAAAGAACCTGAATCCCATAGTGGGAATAGAAAAAAATGGAGAATCCATTCTTTACAGAATTTCCTATTTCTAAAATCAACAGTCTTACAATCTTCTTACTCCACTTTCTGTGGCGTCTGACCAGAGGAAGGACTGTATTAAGCAGCTGCTGACATGGCTGCTAACGAACCTTACCAATGATCCTTCCCTTTGAATGTGAGCAAGACCTACTAACTTGCTTCTTACAATACCAATATGTTTACTTCTGAAATTAGGCTAAAAACAGACTCTGGCTTCTATCTTTCTAGCCATTAATTATGGAAGAACAGTCAGCTGTATTTTGTGAGCCCTACAGGCAAATATTTAAAACAGAAAATAGATTAGTGGTTGGCTGAGGGTGTGAACAGGGAATACGTAAACTGGCATGAGGGCTCTTAGTGGGTAATAAACATATACTAAAAGTAGATTATGGTGATGCCTATATATCTTGGTAAATTTACTAAAAAAATCATTAAATTGTAGCCCTAAAACGGGTGAATTTGACAGTATGGAAATTATATCTTTTTTTTTTTTTGGCACTGGGGTTTGAACTCAGGGCCTCGTAGAGGCAGACATTCTACCACTTGAGCCACTCCACCAGACCTTTATTTTTTGTGTTGGGTATTTTCAAGATAGGATCTCACAAACTATTTGCCCAAGACGGCTTCAAACTGTGATTCTCCTGATCACTGCCTCCTGAGTAGCTAGGATTATAGGCGTGAACCACCAGCACCTGGCTGGAAATTATATATTAATAAAGTTGTTCTCAAAACATCGTAAGAAAGTTAGTACTGTTGAAACTATTCCAAGAATGAGGGGAGGAGGGATAAAAGAGAATGATGGATAGGGTGAATTCAAGTATTATATACATTTTAAGAACGTTTGTAAATGCCACAATGTACCCCCAGCACAACAATTAAAAAAAGAACTAATACAAAATTAAAATTATAAAAATCCTTTAAAAAGTTAGTACTATAATAAATCCAATAAAATTCTACCAAATCAAATATGAGATGAACATTTCTTCTGTCATAATAACTTTAAGCCTCAACAGAATTTTCAACACGTACTTAATGAACAGTTACAAACATTTTGAAAAATACAGATATACTTAAGGAGAACACACAAAAAAGTTCAAAACTCTAATCTTACTATGTAAGGTTTTTGAATAAATTTTCTAAAATTTGATTTTATAAAATGTGGAGGTTTTTGGAATCCATCAGCATGAATATTCTTCACCTTTGAAAAACTGGAACACTGATCATTCCTAATACAATGGAAAAGAGAAAATAAGAATCTTTTATTAGTTTACTGTTGTCCAACAAATAAACAAGAAAAAATTAAAAATCCCTTCAAAGACAAAGTAGCATGACAGTAAAACCTCAGTGATCTAAAAGTACAAATGGTAGTTATTAGGGCTAACAACCTCATCTTTCAACAAACATTATTTAGCTAAATTGGAATTTAACAACAGGAGAAAAACAATATTCCTTGTACCAGAGTTCTCAATCTGAGGCCCAAGGATAGGTTTCCTGGAGGCTGTAACTGATATGTGAAATGTGTATTTTCCGAGGCAAGATTGGCACTGGGATAAAATCCACACTGCTAATCATAATTTACAGAGTCCTTCTTGCTCTGGTCCTTGCTTCAGTCTCCTAAACACACATATCAAACTTCAGGTATATTTAACTATGCGTGGTTCTGAGCACATCCGAAAATCTCTTTTGCTTCCACATCTTTGCACCTGCAATTCCTTCTGTGATCATTTCCTTCCACTTGGATTAACTTCAAAGTTTAGCTCTATTTGTATCTCTTCCAAGGAAGGCTTTCTTAAACCCCTCTAGAGCAGACTAGGTACCCCCTGCTATGAGCAACTGCAGCATTTTGGGGTCTTGATACCTATCTCTCTATGTTTGTAACTGCTGGTATACTACTGTGTGTTTAATGGAACAGCTGATTCCTTTATAGGATGGTTCATTGTGACCCCAACTCAGATCCTGGAACCTGACCTGAAGTAGTTCTGAAATGTTAAAAAAACAAACAAACATGTCCTGTCAAAAAGTTCCTGATACGATAGAAGACAAACCAGCAGGGTGCAAAGCTACATATTGAGGATAATTTCAATTATTTAAATGATATATAAAAATTATATTTAAAATATTTTAAAATATATGTTTATAAAAGTGACAGAAAATGTGCTAAATGTTAACAGTGGTCATTTCTAACTGATGAAATTAAGAGTTCCTTATATTTTATTCTTATACTTTATTATATTATCCCAAATGATTACTATTAGCATACATGACTACTTATAAACAAAACAATGGGATTTTATGAATCCTTTTTATGAAGCATATATCAGATAAGGAAATACAGGTTGAGCATCCCTAATATAAAAATTTGAAATCCTCCAAAATCTGAAACTTTTTGCACATTAACATGACATCACAAATGGAAAATTCCATACCTGACCTCATGTGACCATTCATACATAGTCAAATCATAGGTGCACAAAAATATTGTATAAAATTATCTTCAAGCTCTATGTATAAGGTGTATATGAAATGTAAATGAGTTTTATGTTTAGATTTGAGCTCATCTCCAAGATATCTCAGTATATATATATGCAAATATTCCAGTATTCCAAAAACCTTGAAATCTGAACCATATCGGATCCCAGCCATTTTGGATAAGGAATATTCAGCCTCTGTACTATGTAGAATATATAAATAATTCTTTTTTTTAATTGTTCAATAAACTAAATAACTGTCTTTTTTTTTAATTCATATGTGCATACAATGCTTGGGTCATTTCTCCCTCCTGCCCCCCTAAAGAATTCTTATACCTCATCAATGAAAGGACAATAATCTGTTTTTAAAATGGGCAAAGGATTTGAACAGAAATGTCTCCACAGAAGACAGACAAGTGGCCAATAAGCATATGAAAAGATACTCTATCATTATTCATTAGGGAATTGCAAATTGAAACCAAAGTGAGACAGCAGTTTATACCCACTAGAATGGCTATAATCAAAATGATGATAGCATCAATATTCATAAGAGCACTACTAACAATAAGCAAAAGATAGAAACAACACAAATGTCCATGAACAGAAAATAAAGAAAATGTGATAAATCCATATAGAGAATATTATTCAGCCTTAAAAAGAAGAATTTAAAAAAGGAATGAAATCCTGACATATGATACAACATAGATGAACCCTGAAAACATTATGCTAAATGAAATAAGCCAAACACAAATACATACATATGATTCTACATATATGATGCACCTAAAATAAGCAAATTTATAGAGATAAAAAGAAAAGAGGTTAACATGGGGGTAAGGGAGGGAGGAATAGGGAGTTATTGTTTAATTGTATGTGAAGAAAAACAGTTATGGAAATGGATAATTGTGATAGTTACATGACATTATGAATATACTTAATGCTAATGAACTGTACACTTAA